ATAGGCCTAATTTTAATTGTAGGTAGGATAGATAGGGAGCATCCAACAGTAATATAGTTGAATAGGTAGTCAGCGTAAGTTTATCTCTTCTATTTTATCTTGCACCCACATTACACGCACCAGCGTATTACACACACACACACACACACACAAATACATACATAAACATATATGTTAGTATTTGAGCGTAATTTTATTTTCCTTACACATTCTAATTTATTATTACTAAGGTTGAGAGTAATTTAATTTCATAGGTAGTTAAGAGCAATAATGTAATTCTAGAAAAAATATTGTAATGTAAATTAAAACGCTGTAAGTGTATCGATAGGTAGGTTAATTGTTAAGTTTTACATTATCATTATTAAGTTGGAGCCCAAGGCATTACGTAGGTGGTGGGGTGGGTGCCGAAAGGCCAATGAATTGGGCTCTTGAGTTTTGTAATTTTAGGTAAGCTAGGACCGTAATGTAATGAATAGGTAGGTTAAGGCTACGTTGTAACACATACTCATTAATAGATTTAGGGTTTAAGTTTTATATTATTATTACTAAGTTGGAGCCCAAGGCATTACGTAGGTGGTGGGGTGGGTGCCGAAAGGCCAATGAATTGGGCTCTTGAGTTTTGTAATTTTAGGTAAGCTAGGGCTTAATTGTAATGAATAGGTAAGTTGAGGGTACGATAGCCGATAGACTCTGAATTTCAAAGTCCGTTGTCAGAGGTAAGCCTTGGCGGCCAGTGGTGAACCGGCAATGGTTTACTATCCGGACGGCAATGGTTTACTATCTGCACGGTAATGATTTACTATGCGGCATGGCCATAGTCTACTACCCGCACGGCTTCCGGACGGCAAATGGTTTACTATTCGCAAGGCAGTAGTCTACTATCCGCACGGCAATGGTTTACTATCCGGTGCCCTGGCTGTCGGTGAACATCTGTGCAAGGAGGGAGAATGAAGGGGAACTTTCGACTATCGTACCATTAACAATTTATTATAGATTAGTTAAGGTAATTGAATAGGTAGATAGGATTATTTTTATTAAGCAATTTAAGATGCAGGCACCGCTAAGCTTTCTGATGAGAATTTTCTCTTTCTCTATTCTACGGGCTGTGTTTCAACAACAATCTCGAGGAGGACTGGCACCAGTTTTGAAGGACAACGCAGGAAACGGAAGGCTCTCATCATTTTGCCTTTGTCGAATGGACGACGGTAAGTTTTTTTTACATTTTACTCTCTTTATTATTTTCAAATATTATTTATTTGCCATTATTTCCATTTTATAATTTTTTGCTTCTAAGATTCTAACATTCATTTACTACTAAGCTAATAAAAATAACTTGTCTACAGACTGATGAGAGGTGGGCAGTGGTGGGCGTCAGCACGTTTCAGATGGTGGTATCATGATGATCGTTCCGATAACAACTCGAAGAAAACAACAACGACGATTTTTGAAGTATGGTTTAGTTTCGTTATTTTTATTTTTTTCATTCATTCATTTTGTCACACAATCTTTCATTCATCCATTAATTGACTCATTCTATTCATTCATTGAATCATAGATTGGTTAATTAATTCATTCAATCACTCAATCATTCGCTCAATCATTTATTCGGTTGTTCTTTCGTTTTAACATTCATTTACTACTAGGCCAATAAAAAAAATTTGTCTACAGAATGATCAGAGGTTGGTTGTGGTGGGAGTCAGCACGTTTCATGATGGTAATCTCATGGTAAGATAAGTTGCTTCTTACTTTTTTTCAATGGCTTGTTTTTTATTTTAAAAAATTAACTTTTTCTTTCAATTTTGTTTTTCAGTATTGGGTAAAATTCATTTCCTCAGTGCGTGTCAGATGATGGTCGGTGCAATGGAGGTTCGTCCGTAGTGGGTGAAGAAGTTTCTGGAGGGTACGCGCGCGCACATTTACATACACGCACACACATAAATACAACACACACATACACAACATCCATTCATTCGGTGTCGTTGTTGTTATGTTTATCTTCAACTTTCTATTTTCTTTACCGGACTTAATTTAATTCATAGGTAAGTTAGGGATTGAGATGAGTTGAACAACTGTAGGTAGGCTAGGGCTTAACATTAGTTAAAAAGTTTCAAGTAAAATATTAACATTAACATAAATTAAAAGCTTCAAGTAAAATTAAAACGTTAAAATATGTAAAATAAATGAGTTGAGTTATCATTATAGGTAAGCTAGGGCCCTGAGAGTAATTTAATTGTAGGTAGGTGACTGACTACTATTCTTGCGACTTTTTAATATTTTTTTTTGTGGTGTGTTTGTTTTCGCTTCTTAGCACCACGCAACACCAACAAAACAAACTACAATTTTTTTTGTCTTCGCCTTAAATTTTACCATTTTTGAACAATCTTTTTAATAATGTCTATTTATTTATTTGTAAAATGTTGACTGGTTTCTAGTTTCTTATTTTGGTTATATAATTTTTGGATATTTCCTGATTTACTTTGTATATATGCATGCATGAATAATTTCTGTTTGGTATGTTGATTTAGTCATTATGATATGCTGTGAACTGTCCTTACTAAATATTCATGTTTCGTGATAATTATTTTTTATCGATCGATATTTTGTTATATTTGTTTGTTTAAAATTTGAACTTTTTAAAAAATTGACATTTAACAAATTTTAATTTCGTCACTTTTCATCTTTTGATGATGTCAAATAAAAGCAACTGTTGTGTTTTTCTTTTTTTACTAAAATCTCGAATACAAACATGTACACATAAAGAGACACAGACACACGTACATACAAACATACATACACGCATACATACATACTGCCATCATATATACGCAGTACAATAAACATTCATGTCGTTTCTGTCAATGTATTTTAAGTATGTTATACTGTTAATCTTGTTAACTATGATGATGATCATCATCATCACAACCATCATCAACGAACAACAATAACAACATTATAATAATAATTACAACAACAACGAAATAAAAATAGTTGTTCTCATTATGCATTTCAAAAGCTTGCATTCTTCTTTTAATACAAGCGTTATATGTGTGTGTGTGTGTGTGTGTGTGTATGTGTGTGTGAGTTTGTTTGTGTGTGTGTGCCTGTATGTGTATTGTATATTTTTATCTATTTATTGAAACGTTATTTTTTACGCATACCCCTTGTCTCATTCTCTCTCTCTCTCTCTCTCTTTCTTACTTTATATATATATATATATATACATATATAACATTAACATTAAACTTTAGTGAGAAAAATCGAAAAAACGAACTACAAACATATTAACGCCAAACATTCGGTAGAATTTATAGAATATTGTAAAAATTATGGTCTATTACCAACATATATATATATATATATATATATATATATATATATATATATATATATATATACATACATACATACATATATGATTGGCTGGCTGGCTGGCTGACCGACCGACCGACTGACTGATTGTTTGATTGATTTATCTCATAGTATTGTATACATGAGAAAAAATCCGATTAAGCCAACCAACGGCTTCAGTAAGCCACTGTTTTTCACCTGACAAAAGCAATTTCTATATTTATATTGACAAAAATAATTTTGATATGAATATATTGATTTATTTAAAGCATTATATGTACAAAAAAGTGCTATCGTAAGAGTTCTATGAAACCCTGTAAGCCACTGCTGTAAGCCAACGTATGATTTCAGCAGCCAGTTTCTTATGAGCACCAGCAGAATGTAAAATATTCATTGAATATAATGAAGATAGTTGTTCAAATAACAATTTTGATTTATTTAGGCCGTTTATTTCATAAGCAAACCAATTTTTAACATGATCGAATAGTGTAAAAAAAAGGGTGACTATAGTTCAATCCTACTAAGCCAACCTTCGGCTTCAGTAAGCCACCGGATTTCACCGAACCAAAAGCAATTTTTATATTCAAATTAACAAAAATAATTTAATAATACAAAATTCTATTAATCATTATTAAAATTAAATAGAATTACTACAATGTTTTAAGCATATTAAATTAAGTAAATATCTCATTTAGCTTGCTCGTTAAAATCCATGCAATTTCGTAAGCCAACAATCCAAGCACGACAAATAGCCCGACCGATAGATCGAATTGATCGATTAGTCCTATTATTCTAGTTATGTGGTTTGGAGCAAGGGGAGACATTACTGAAAATAATTAAAAGTTGAAAAAATTGAGGTTCTTTGCATATCTCTGCTTCAACCCATAAGAAGGTGTTGTATGCTGGTAAATAGGCCTCCCCTTGCTTTGTACCCGTTGAGAAATGTTATAGCTCAATTTCTAAAACTAAATAGATCTACCCGCCGGTTATGAAGTAAAAATTTAAAAAAATAAGCGGTTTTTTAAAGAATTTTAATTTTTAAATGTTAATGACTATAAAATTGAAAAACATGAATGAAAAACGTTCAACGAAGAAAAGAATAATTCATACAACATAATGTTATAGTTCAATTTCTAAAACTAAATAGATCTATCCGCCGATTATGAAGTAAAAATCAGGGAATTATATAACTGGAAGCGCCCTACCAGCGTTTTAACATTGAAAATTTTTTTCAACGGCAAGTTACCTCTGGAAGCAAGTTTCTAAAAATTAATAATTTGTTTTAAAAGTGAAACTATCTTTTTAACAGATACGTTTAAAATTTTGTTACACATTTTGTAATGTATTATATTTTTATAACTTTATAGAGGTTTTGTGGTTTTTCTAGTAAAAATTGGTTTAAAATTTTTATTTTTAACTTTTATAAGCTTTTATTATTTAGTTCAACTTTTAGTTGTACCGTGGGAGGAACTTATGAGTCTCTTTAAACTGTTGACTATAAATAAATATTGCTGGAAAAACCACTTTGCCGTCTCCGAGATTACCAACAAGTCGTTGATTGATTTATAAATTGATTAATTGGTGGATTGATTAGTAGTTTTTATTGATTAGACATTTAAAAAAATATTTTTAAAAAAGCAAACCTAGCTGGCATGTCTTCAGGCAAGTTTTTAGCCCTCTGTAAATTCTCTAGTAAAAAGGTTGACAGTAGATTATTCACGCAAGTTATAAAGTTGGAACGGTGCTTTGGGAGAAATTTATTTCTAAATTATAATATTGTTAATTCCTTGTCCTCAAACACTAACAATCAACAATTAGTGATCCAGGATTATAAAAATCATAAAGATGTCACCAGCAACAGTGGTAGTATCGGCAGTATTGGTGATCACAGACTGAAAACTAAAGAAAAAAATGATGATACAGCGTTGTTTAAGGAAATAAAATCTATGAATACTGAACAAGTGAGTAAATCTCATCTTCATTTTACTTTATTTTTATTTATTTAATTTAATTTTTCATAAGTTAATAATATTCTTATTACTTTATTTAACTTTATTAATTTCTTTGTTTACTTTTAAATATTTGTTTAGTTTTTTAGTTCATTTTTTAGTTTATCAATCAGTTCAACTAGACTAGAGTCTAGTTTAGCTAGACTCTGAACTAGTTGAACTCCTCACCAGTTGTGTTATCTTTGTTTGCACAACTGACAACGTATACTAGAGATGCCAGATATTTATTTCTTTTTACATTGAAATTACTGTTTTCAAAACTTATAATTATACTAGTATATAGCTTTAGTTAAATACTCTATCTAAAGCTATACTGTTAACGAATTATTAATAAACTACACTATGTAGCAAATAAGTAATCTCTCAAGTTTTCACAAAAAAAGTAGCAATCAGTCCAAAATCTATAAAAATTTCAAAATATTTTTTTATATTTGCCACTGTACCATAGATTCTAGATCTGGTAGACATTCATAATGGAAAGAGATTGAGCCCCCAACACATAGCGCTCTGTATGAAGAGATTGTATAGCATATCTATTGCCGATACAAATGATAATAAGGGTCAGGATATCAATATTGTTGATTCAATCTCAAATGATATCAGATTCAAGGTATCTTGTATGTGTGCATGGTTTATTATATTTATTCATTATTTTATTATTTATTCAATTTATTTATTTAAATGATTTTAAATGACAATAATATATTTGGTTTGGATTAATTTGGTTTGTTTATTTATTATAAAAATGTTATTAATTTTTAGACTTAAAGAGTTTGTATGATATTAATAAAGTTGATCGAATAAACATTCATTAAGATGTAATGTACATAGATTTTTTTCCATCACAGAATCTAGCAACATGCTCATTGTTATCAGGAAGGTTCCTGCCGTCTTCAGTTATCTTCGATATGGTAAAATATTCTATTCACTTTTCGTGCAGTCAGTCACTATTGTACGGCCTTCTAAAGCTCCTCACTAACGTTCTTAATGATTTGGCTCTAGATCAACTAGCAACACTGTCTGGACTTTTGTTTCATTATACCAATGGCAAGGTTGTTTTTGATGATAGGTGTGAAGAGTTGAAATATACTAAAATCGAGGAATCTGATTGGGCAGTGCTTCTAGCCAATCAGATTAATCTGCTGATGGAAGGAGTTTTTTTATTGGTCAGATCTAAAGAGGAACAGTTAAAAATATTGACAAATGAAGAAAGACTGAATTTATTAATATGTTTTCAAAATAAGTGAGTCAGCTATTTTGTTGAATTTGAAATAAAATAATTAAATATATATAAATATATATATATAAATAAATAAATATATATATATATATATTTGTGGGTGTGTGTCTAATTATTATTTGTTTAGATATTATTAATAATTAATATTTTATTATTTATTCATTTTATTATTTTTTAACAGTTAAATTCATTCCACCTAGATTGCCGTTCAGTGAAAAACTCCTGAACGACATCATCACGTCATTCACCGATCTGTCAGACGATGAAATGGTTAAACTTCTACTTGCCTGTAATCTCGTTTTGTCATCATCATCATCTATGACATCATCATCATCATCATCATCTTCGTCATCATCATCTACGAACTCATCATCATTGCTACAAACAACAAACCGGAATACTATAACTACTACTACTATTATTAATAATAATTATAAGGTTTCTGGTTCTATGGTCCATAGATTAAAACATTTAATATCTTCAATCATAGATAAATTGACAATTAAAGGTGAGTCCAAAGACAGCATAGATTTAACTAAACAACGAATCGAATTAATTTTAAAAACTCTTTCTCCACGAAGAACTTCGAAAAATCAATTGAAATTACTGAAATGGTTGTCAGGTAAAGTCGCACATCTCCATACCTCAGCTGTCAATCAAATATCCCCATTTGAATTAGTGAGATTAGTTGTCCAATTTGGTAGACTGAATTTTTATTGTGAGCAGTTGATAAATTTAATAATAGCTAATAAACACAAGTTATTCAGTATAAATGACAACCATCATTTATCGTTATGTGATATAGTGTTTTTGGTTAATTTGTTACTGACAATGCAACAACAACAACATCATCAACAACAACAACATCATCAACATCAACAACGACAACAAAACAACAATACAGCAAAAGCACCAACAGAAAAACATGATGATGATATCTCTAGCATCATTAGTTATATTAAGAATCATGTTAATGATAATAATATGATCTATAAGGAAGCATCATTAAGTTAGTATATAATTACCTTTTATCATAGATTTCTCAACTTAATTGATTTTAACTATTCAGTAATTAATCAATTAATCGATTAATTGATTAACCAGTTATTTAATAAATTTGAATGGACACCTGTGAAGTAAAATTAATTAGTTAATTTTACTTCACAGGTGTCAGGATGAGCTATTTATTCCAACTCTACATAGCCAACTATGACGTCAGTGATGACGCCGTAAAACTTTTGAAATGCATAAACGACAATAACAATAATTATTATATTATGTCAAATAATAATAATAATAATAGTAATAATAATAATAGTTATAAAAATGGTACTGGTGAGTATGTTGTCACCTCAAAGCATTGTGGTGATAACAGCGGTGCGTGCATTCACTCATATGATTATAAGGATGGCGATGCAAAAGATGACCTAGTGATGTTCTTTTCACTTATATTCAACACGCCTACACATTTCAAGTGACCGTTATAATTGTGATTTCATTGATCGTTCCTTCATTCGTCTATCCGTTCATTTGTTCATTCGTTTATTTATCTGTTTGTTCAATTATCGAGTCATTCATCTATTCATTCATTCATTTTTTCTTCCAGATCAAAAAGTGCACAACACAGAAAGAGATTTCATAATTATATTATTAACATATGGCCTGATGCTGAACGCTGCAATGATAATAATTATCTTTGGGGTTTTTATCCATTTAATTATTATTAATATTTTTTATAAAATAATTACTCATTTAATAATAATATTATTGTTATTATGACCCACAGATTATACATTAGTGAATAAAGAGCAAAGGTTATATATAAATCCGTATTTGTTGCTATTTATGAGGTGTACAATTTTTTAAAAAGACTTGGTTACACAATAATTTATAATTAAAATTAATTATTTCCGACTAATTATTCATAATTATGCGTATTAAGTTGTAAATTATTTGCGTTCGAAATCTACATAGGATAGCTGTTAAGGTCTGCAGTAGTGACTGTTACTGGATGAATACGCAATGCCTGAAGCCAGTCTACTCGCTTTACCATCATCACACCACATCTCTTCTTCACCGTCTTCATGATCAGCAGCAGCGGCAGCTTCAACAACGACACCACCAGCCGAACACAGCAACAGAAATCTTAAAAGCATTATTTAGAAATAATAAAATACCAATTCAGATAATAATGGTTAGATTGATGATCGCTTTATTTTTGAAATTTTTCTTCAGAATGTTGTTAAAAATTTATTTAGCCTATAATTTTTCAGTTAAATTATTATTCTTATTATATCTTTTCTTTCAGTTGAACGAAATGAAATTTTGGAAGACACCTGAGAAAGAAAGAGGTCCGTATCTCAAATACCTCATCAATGGTGCTGTCGGCAGACTTTCTTGATTTTGAAATTGTTATAATTATTTATTACTTTTTAAAATTATATTTTTCAATATTTATTTATTGATATTCGAGTGATTTATCTTCCTCTTAACACAATTTCAACCGCGTCCCCATGTTAAAACAATGAAACTTCTTACTATTTCTATTACACCCAAGTTGTTCAAGTACGACGATAAAGTTTATATATGATGGAACAAGGTGATGAAGACGATGGTGATAATAAGAATCGTGATGATAATATGGGATAATATGGCGGCGATGATGATAATGATTAGAATCATGGTGATGATGACGACGACTACATATGTAATTATATAATAAAATACTACATATATACTAGGATAGATATTATGGATGATATACATACAGATAACAATCATTACAAAATGGACATGTTTACATTACATTAGTAGAGTTTGTAGTACTAAGAAACACCCGTGGCGATGAAAATATTAGTAGCACGAATCGCGACCACAAAGGCGATAACGCACTTTTATATCTTCGCCTCTAGTCTGAGTTCAGTATCTTTCTGTATGCGTTCTTCATCATAAATATGGATGTGGTATGATGCGTACGTTTCTGTAGCATAGGGCTCCGGCAGCCTTACACACACGAGCAAACATACACACAAACGCTAACACAGACAAAAAATGCAGAAACTTCGAATAACTTAGCGACTAAACGAAACTTCATTAATAAATAAGCGGCCGTTGCGCGGTGCTTGCGCTCGTTAGAGGCATCTGAATTAATAACTGCAATTTATCACGGGACCACTAACACTGCTGGCGTTTGTTTGTCTGTGTGTTTGCTGGTATGTGTTCCAATTTCAAACTTTTTAGAAGAATTATATTTTCAACCCGATAGGAATGCTTTTAATTAAGTGACGTATCCAACTGAAAAATACATATAAGACAGTTTCGATCGACGTTTGGCAAAATCTGAAAATCTTCAATATTTATATACGAATTGATATTGTGAGTTGAAATATAATCGTTGAAGAGTTGAAATACAATCGTTGAAAAGAGTTGAAATATAACCGTACATTCTGATGCAAACTGCAGACGGATTGAAAACAGTAACGCTTATAAAAACACACATAAACATTATAAACTTTTAAAGTATTATATTCAAATTTGCTTGAACAAGAAATCAGTAATAAAAAACAATTCGTTAAACATAATGCGAATGCGTCGCGAAAACTATTTACAGAGAAGCTTAGGAATCAGGAATTTTTCCTCATTTAATTACTTGTCCTTTTAAAGAAAATTAATCATATTAAATAAAAATTAAATTATATTTTTAATAAATAATGAAATTATACCCGATCAAATACGAAATTCTACAGGATCAGAAGAATATTTAAGGATTGCATGTTAAGAAAGCACAGAAAGAAATGTTTCAAGATAGGGCAGTATAAGATTCCTAAAAATAGCATACAATTACACTAATTCATTTTAACAGCCTAAATACAGATGAAATAAAAGATATGTAAAGCCACTAATCAATAAGAATATTACATATTCATGAGATCTCCAAGTCGAATCTAAAGAAAGTTTGAGAAACAAAATGCAGGACGATAAATAATTCTAAATAATTAATTAATTAACAATTTTGTGACCAATACCTTTTCTGCCTTAGCTTTGTTCGCCTTCTTTTTTGATCTAAACATAAATTTAAATTAAACAGAACGAAACGTAAAAATGATTTTTAAAGTGATAGATAGAGCAAGCTTGTACATTTAAAAGGTAATAATCAATATCTCGTAAATAATACAAATTGTAAAATTAAAAATATGAATCAAACAAAAAATAGTAGAAAGAATGAAAACTCCATTACTTCTTGATGGACTTCAAATGTTTCTGCAAAGAAAATATAGGACTGTGATTCACTTAAATTTATTTACTAACATTATTTATATTATATAACGGGGGAAAAATGGTTTGATGGGAGGATAAATATAAACCAACAGACTAAATAAATTTCATTCAATAAAGTAGAAACATAGTATATCACCATAACCTCAAAACATGAAGTTATTTTCAGGATTTTAAACCAAAAAATATTAAAAATTAACCATGAAAAAAGCCAAAACACTTTATTAACTTATACTTAGAACTTTAAAAAAAGATTTTTTACTACAATTAAAAATAAAGAGTGATCATTTAAATAAGATAATGTTAATTCATGAACAGCCATTACATATTTAATTATAAACGGCATGAAAAGAACCAATGAAAACTAATAAAATTTAGTGAAATTGATGATAATACATTAACCTCTAAAAAGACATCCACACTGTTTGAGTTCCTAAAGGGAAAATTTTGTTTGAATGGATGAAACTTAATTAATCATAACTTTTATTTTAAATTAGATTTATTATATTTTATTCTAATTAATCGGCACTTATAAATTGTGTAAGTCTTATTTGGATGTTAATTTAAAATAATGTAAATCTGGGAGTGCCTAACAAAATTATGTTATGACATTGGTATGAGTTTTGAGACATTGCCAAAAGATAAAACAGATTATTTATAAGTGATTGTTTAATCTAAATATAAAAATGAACAAATCAATGAACGATTTTAGTTAATATTGTCAATAAATAAATAAATTTAAATTAATTAAATTAAAAATTTCAATAAAACCTCTCTGGAGACGTGGATAATTGCACATTCTTTTTTTCTAAATGAAACAAAAATTTAGCCCAAATAAATAAATATATATATATCAATGAATGTTGACTAATCAGGTTATAGTTATAATTAAACAATGTATAATATATACACATATATAATTAGACAATGTATAATATATACACATATATAACATAATTTAAAGCAAACCTTGAAGTCTTATGTAATCCGTCAGTTTCATATTTAACTCTTCCTGAATTAAAAAAATTCAATTAATATAAAATAAATTGATACACCACCAGAAAGTAATGTGAAGAGAAATTAATTATTGGTAACATTTCACTTAATAACTTTTCTGGCCATATTTTTACTCTGACTGTCATGGTATTATAATAGAAATACTTCTATCATAAACTCCTAATACAATTTTTGAACTAATTTCATACAGTATTGCATTACATTTATAAGGTCATAACTTAGCTTGTTTATATATACTTTTTGGTTTAGCATTTATTTTTCTTTACAGACATAAATTTTGTTTCATTTTTTTAGTAACTTTCTGTTAATATTGGTGTAACATTGTTCTTTTATTTTTTGTTAGAACAAACAAGTCTAGATTAGGCTTCAGGTCTGTGATTTGGAATGAATAAAATAAATAAATAAAATAATATAGTGATTTAGTCATGTAATTCAAATTATTAACTAATCCTATAATTTATAATTAGGTTCAATTCCAACTACTTTTTAGTTTTTAACTTAAAAATTAAAGTTCAAAATAAATTTAATAAAATCTAAAAAATAAAATGAAAAGCAAAAATAAATACAAAATTCACCTTAGTCAAACTTTTTTTCTTAGATTCAGCCTGATTTTGAATTTCTTTAATGTGAGAAGAAAGGGCATCTTCAAACTTTATGACTTTCCTATTTACTGCCAGGATATTATTATATTAAAATTAAATATTAAAAAAATATTTTGATGGGGCCAATTTTTTATAGAGCATAATTTATTAATATAGAATAATTCATAAAAATAAAAATATATATATATATTATATTGAGGAGAAAAATACAATTTAGTTAGGATTAGTTAGATTAGATTATTAGAGATAAAAATAAAAAAATAATAAAATAAAAAACTTTTTATTTGAAACCTTCAAGCCGGAAGTCTTTCAACAGACAATTCATCATCGCAAAATTAGTGCAATCGAGGAATAAAATCTAGATTAAAAATCAAAATATTTTATGTCTATTTGTTTTTATCTTGTTTAAAATAAAAAGCTTTTAAAATTGCCGCTACTAAATCACAATAAAAACATACGGTCTATCTAAACCATGGAGTTTTTGACCATTGAATCAATTAATTTAATTTAAATCAGTGGTCTACCATTGAATAATTGAATGGTTGAAAATTCAGCGGTCTTTACTGTATTTTTTAAGAACTAATTGTTTTGTGCCGAATCTGCTACTACCAAAAATCCACGTAATTGTAAACAACGAAGTCAAAAATAATGAAAATGGAATGAAGTTTCAATCGTAATTCAATCGCGAAGTTTTTTGTGACATTTTATGATACCAAAATTTATTCTAAACTGTTTCATTTTATTTCGTCATGTGGGGAAAATTAACAAGTTTAGCTTCCGCTGCTGTTGCAAGTTTGGTTAGCGTTAGAATTAGAATTTAGATGTTATATTTGAGTTGCTTATTGCCAGTTTGTATTTTTTTTGAGTTTTGAGTTTGAAGTTAGAAATATTGTACCTCTTTTTTGCATGCCAGTTAACTTCTAATTGGTCACATAATAAAAAAATAATTTTTACAATTTTATTTATAATTTTATATCATCATTCAATAATAATAAAATGATAATATCATTATCATTATTATGATTATATTATTATAATAAAAAAAATTAATAACTCTAAAATTTATTATGTATATGACATCATTTAACATTTAACAATCATTATCACCAGGATGATGACAACAACAGTGAGGACAGTACCAGTACAACGGAGGACCCAGCTAAAAAACCATCACTAACAAAATTAGTGGATGTAGATGACAAGGAGATTCAGTTAGTTGAGCAGCAGAAGTTAATAGTCCATTTGAAAGAATTAATTAGGGAAAAGGATGTGAGCCTCACTGAAAAGGAAAATGAATTGAAGGTTATTTTAATACTAAATAATTAATAAGATCTCATTTCATTATTTTTATTATTTATAACTCATTTGATATTAGTATAATATATAATACATATATAATATATATATAAGTAGTGCTAATGTTTTTTTTATAAGAACTTAGTTACTATTATTTTTTAATTGTGCATTTTTTCACTGAATTGTTAAATTGTTTGTTTAAATTTTAACATTGTAGATGAAATTCTATTTATAATTTTCACAGAAAATAGATGCCTCATTCAGCAAATTCAAATTACAAGCGAAATCTAAAATAGCAACACTGACGAAACAGCTAGAAGATAACAAAAAGGAACCGACACGGGCCGTTGAAACAGTATGTTGTTCATTCAGACATTTCTTTATCGATTTTTTTCTAAACGGTTTTTTTTCTTATATTCTAAATCTATCATTATATCAAGAATTAAATTTAAATACTTAAACTTTAGTTAAGCTATACTTATGATTTTTAATATTGTTTTCAGACATGCATTTGATATTTCATTTGCCTTCCAGTACATAAATAATGAACATTCTACTACGTAATGCATAAAAACACACCACACAGGCTTCCACCACAGACTCAGATGATGGCTCCAGCATTGTGGTTACTGAAGCATCTTCTGATCAATCATATCGTGCTAAGATGATTGTGCTAAAGAAACACATTCAACAAAAGGACAAACAGATTAAAGAGTTGAATACGAAATTGGATAATAAATTTTTGGAGATTGAATGCAAAGAAAATATAATCATTCAGAAAATAGAGGAATATGATGAGTTGATGAAAAAGTTTAAAGATCTGGAGTCAGAGAAGGAAGAGATTAAACTTAAAAATGTTAGAAATTTTGATAGCTCTGAA